CATATTTAGAAGCTTTAAAGCATAAATTTGATGATCAAATGATATCCAAATATAACATGTTTATAGTTAAATCGAGTGGATAGACAAGTTGAATCCAATGAGCCCAAGATAATCAAATTTTGGCATCATTAAGACACTTAGATGCTCGATAAATGGTCAATGATCGAGGGAGTCAATATCAGCCATCCATTTTAACACTCCCAACTTAACCTTGATCCTCCTCATATTTATTAGTCATGCCACTCTCAAAAAACTATAAATAGACCGCTCATTATACAAAAAGAAGAAAGGAAAAATAAAAGAAGAGGAAGAAGGAAGAGAAATATGAGATCTCTTACCACCAAACTCTTTCAACCAATGCCCGACCACCAACCATCGTCGGATTTTTGCCAGGTCTCCAACAGTCATCTCCTTAGTTCTTTCCAGCCACCAACCTTCGTCGAACTTCGGTATAAGCACCGCCATTGTCGAACTTCTGCCTGACCACTGACTATCATTTGTCTTTCACCCGGCCTTTGATCATCGCCAAAGATTTTTCTATAAAAAATAGCTTTACAATGCAGTAAAAAAGCCGTCCCAAATAAAGCCTCATTTAGGATGACTTTCTAATCACATTCTAAAATAGCTTTCTAGTACAAAATTTTCTAATTCAATTTTTTTTTACTAAAAAACCTGCTTTAAAAAGCAATAAGCAAGCTGTCCCAAATGAAGCCTAAATTAGAACAAAAACTTTAGGTGACTAGAGAAGATTCGCTTCAATACTACTTATGACCTGATAAATTTTGATTTATAGATGGTTCAAATAATTCACAAAATCAAATAATTTTATGAATTAAATTCATTTTCTTAAAATTAATAGCCCACCAAGATACATTATGACTCTCTATCATAAAAGTTAATACATTTTATATGAAGGTCAAATATTTGTAGGTGAAAATTGGAGTGATGTCGGCTATTTTTTATACTCTATGGATAAATTATAAATTTTAATCAAATCAATTCAAATCCAAAATATATTTTTCTTAAGAAAATTTATACAGTAAACCAAAGTTTTTTTATGTTTTATTTTTATTTTTAATTGTCTCAAGTAATAACATACCTTTTATTTGTTTAGTCAGGCTTTAGTGAATAAATAAATAGGATAATTATCATGATGATTTATTGATTGAGTTTTAAAATCTTTTAATTTAATTTAAAATGAGTATAATATATGAATTAAAACTATATTATGTTTTGTATTAATCTCCACAATTATTATGCCATTCAAAGTTATTAATTTGCTAGTATCCTTCTTATAATTACATGGAAGGCCGTCATGAAATTAAACATTTCATTTAATATATCAAATTCTTTGATGGTGGAGTAAACGTGTACTTTAAAAACCTCAAAGTTTTAAAGTAATTGAAACTAGTAAGAGGAAAATCACATTAATTATGCCTCAATTGTTTTTCACTTTGGCAATTAAGAACTTAATAAACTAATCAATAGTGACTTGTACAATTGAATCTTATCAAAACAAAGAGCTGAAGAAATCCTCCAAATCTTCAATATGTTGCAAGATTTATTCAAAACTAAATGAAAATTTTTTTAGTGTTTGATAGTGGTCAAGGAGTCATCATGTGCATCTCATACCAGTAATGCAGGAAGTACATGGTGATTGAAGAGTCATATAGAGTCATGGGTCTTTCAAGACTTTGTTAAGCACTAGTAAATCCCTAAATCCATGTCATTTCCTGTGATATGGTCATGGACTTCCTTCGCTATGGACTCTATAACGTTCTTGTTCACTAACTTAAACAATGTAATCTCCATAATAAAAGTACTCAATAGCATTAACATTTCATGGTGATACTGGTGGGGCACTATAATTTTACATCAACCTAAAGATGGAAGGAGGGGACATAAAATTGGTTTTTTTTTTTTTTAATGAATTTTTTTCAGCAAAAATATGTGAATAAATAATCAATAAAGATAATAAAGAAACTGTGTAGAGGAAAATAGCTATTCAAACACTTTGATTTTTATGTGGTTAATGAGCAATATTCTATATTGAAAAATTATTGCACACCGAACTTAGGATTTCCTACATAGCTTATATTAAAAATATTTCTCCTTGAATAGGTGGAGAAGCCTTTACACTAACCTTCTTTTTGGGATAACTTCCCTTTACACTATTCTTCGACAATGGCACTGCTTCTAGGTGTTCTTCTCTAGAATACTTAGCACCAATCGAGAAATAAATAACTAAAGTAAGAATAAATAATAAATAGAAGTAGTCTTACATGGCGTCATTTAGTGAGTGACGACGACAAAAACTTCCAACACAAACCATTAAAGAAATTATTTGAAAATGGCAATCACTTCTCTTTCTCTATACTAAATGCTAAAATCTAATAGACTTTTCTTAGAATATTTTTTATCATCAAAATCATGAAAACTCTTGGGCTCATGGGGCCAACCCTAAACCCTAAAACATACAGATAAAGAAAAGGTTCATCCTTTTTTTTTTCTGCATCATACTCAAGTGCATTTTAATCTTTGCTTTATCTTCGTAATATATTAAATTGGCACCTCAACAATAAGTTATAACATAAAGAAAACTTAATATGATTACAAAGCAATGTTGATTAAATCCTCTTTTTTCAAGGTGCATTAAAGATTATCAAACCTAAGTACCTAGCGATTATAAGTAGTAGTTATCGTAAGCATGGAAGTTTGGCTCTAGTGAATATAAGCTTTATCAAAAAGCTCAAGGAGTCCTCATAATCCATCTCCTTAGGTATAATGAATTGCAATTAGGAAGTTCTCAAATGGTGTATGGTTATAATTATCAAAACTCTAAGAACATGTTATATGATAATTGAGAACCCGGAAAGCCCAAGTGAAGGTGATAAGTGCATCAAACATTGGACTAGACTTTAGAAGCATTGCATATACATTATAATTATTGTTTTTGAGTGTTTCTTTTGTAATCTTTGAACCAAGAAAATATGGAATAAGCTACAACATTTTTCTCATAAGTTTAATATTCTCATGCCTCTTCTCATAAGTAAGTTTTACATCTTATTATTATGGCAGGCTGGTAGAGTGAGTGAGTTTTATGCCTTAGTGATGCACAAAAGTTTATCAAACAAACTAATAAGCGGGAGATCTTGGAAACACCGAAGATTTTTTATGCAAAAAAATTGAAAGAGAAAACTATAGGGCATCGCCCAAGTGAAGAGATTATACTATGTATGAGTAAGTTACAAAGGTTGACCCATTTCCTAATTTAGAAGCTAATAAATTACAATAGTATAGAGAATTGATAGATGTTAGTATGAGTGCTCAGAGTCGGAATGATCGTGGTCGACAGGAGTGGGAAGAACAATAGTTCGATGACAGTGGTCTGAGGATTATTGTTGTGTGCTTGAGATTGAAGGATAGTGCTCGGGTGACACTGGACTGAGGTTGGAATTAGGCAGAAGTTAGAAGTCTAGTGGTAGTGATCATTTGAAGGTGTGATAGAGGTATGACAATGGCGACACAATGACAATCGAGCAGAGATCAGGGGATAGTGAGATCAGATGGCTTTTCGATGATTAGTTGCTGGGTAGAGTCCCAACGAAGGTGATTAGGCAGGGGTCCAGTAGAGGTAGGAGGTTTGGCGGTGGTAGGCCGAGTAGAAATTTGATGGTGGAGATTAGACGGAGGCCCGGTGGTAGTCGGAGCTCGATAGAGCTTTGGTTGTGATGACCATATAGAGATGAAGGTCTAATGATGATGGTCACGCGGTGGTCTAATGATAGGCATCTAGATCGAGGTGCAGTGGAGCTTAGTCGAGTGAAAGTTCAGTGACGACAAATATTGCCCCGCATTCCATCCCTCTCCCTTGCAGTTGATTTCTGTTGGACCTCTACTCAACCAACTTTTGCCTGATAGCCACCACTTGACCTATGTCTGGTGATTGTCGAACCTTCACCTAGTTTTTGTGATCGAGCCTCTGCCTGACCACCAACCATTGTTGAACCTCTACCCAACCAGTTTTTGTGATCGAGCCTCTGCCTGACCACCAACCATTGTTGAACCTCTACCCAACCGCATTATTACCAGATCTCGGCTTGGCCACCATTTCTATCGAACCTTCACTATGCCGCCACTATCATCAAACCTCTGTCATACCTTTACCCAGCTATTGCCACCATACTTCTGACTTCTGTAGCAAGCAGACGTTGGTTCTATCTAGCATCATCCATCTAGAGTCCTTCGACCTCAGGCGCTCGACTAGGATCTTTAGACCACTGTTGCCTGACTATAGTCCTTCCAACCCTCTATCACCTGATTATTGTTATTCGGACTCTCTAGCACCCATACAAACTTTGATTGATTCTCTACACTATTGTAATTTGGTTGTCTTGAAGTTAGGGGACAAGGCAACTTTTCTCACTTATACGTAGTGAAATCTCTAGCACCTTGGTTAGACCCCATACTTTTTCTCTTTTCTAGTTCTCCACATAAAAAATCTCTAGTATTTTCAAGCTCTCTCGCTTAACTATTTGTGTGCTAGGCATTTGTGCATCCCTATGACGTAAAACCATGTCACTCTACTGTTGCAAATCTATTATCTTACAACAAAGATCAAAATATTATTTTATTATATTATAATGGATAGTTCATAACATCAAATTATGAGATATTAACACATGATATATAAGAAGTTATACTATTAATAACATATTAAACTTACTCTTAGAAGTATAACAATAATTGGAGAAATATTCTCTACATTTTTAAAGTGATATACAACTATGAATTCACAAAAACTGTCAAAAAAAAAAAAAAAAAAAAAAAGGAATTAAAACATTTTTGGCCGGGGAAAAAAAAAAAAAAAAAAAATCAGAAGGAATTAAATGCATTTGTGCCGTGGAAGCCAACTGCACGCTTATGATCTTTGTAGTCCACAGAAGGCCAGGAAGACATGTTTGAAATGGGCTGAGCTGGTTGGGATCTGCATGTTGTTGCTGTAGGATGGGCCCGTCGCGAACCGTTCAGCTCTACCGTCTTCTTAATTTTTTTTTTAGAAACCCTCTCGGCCTGCTTTGTGTTCCAGCTCTATTTTGCCTGTTTGGCTCTTACTCTTTACCGCACTATCTTTTGTCCTTTCCGGCGAAGAGTTCGCTGCCAATTTTTAGTAAGGGAATGCTATTCATTTCCAATCTCCAAGCGAGAATTGGAGACCAGTCGCTTCCTGTCTTGGTTCCCCTTCCATAGGCGAGAAATCTTTCTCCTTTATAATTGCTTTATTCTTTTTTCCCTTATTGAAGGAAGCTCAGAAGAGGGATCCGTGGTGCTTTTTTCTTCCACTCCGCGAGGCTTTGTTCAGTTATTGCATATGCGCGTGATCTAGTCAAATCACAGATCGGTCGCATTTTTTTTCCAGATTATATGTAACGAACTTATGTATGTTTCACCTACTTCCTCGGTTGGATTCCTTAGCTAGTAGAATATTGCAAGGGTTTTGATAATTCTGCAAATTTGTGATTAAATTTTAGCATATATGCGGACGAATGTTAGGTCTAGTATTTACCAAAATATACTTTCGATTGATGTGAAAGGACATAGTTCTGGATATCGTCAGGGAAGCATTGTTGACCTCATTGTCTTATACTGCTTTTATACATAAATCATTTCTCAGCGCTAAGTGAAATTTCGATGTGGGTATTGTCTTCCAGGCAGTTTATCAATGGTACCCAATTTCATAGAAAATCTCAACTGAATGGTGCCAATTAAATGAAAATGTTTAAATTCCAATAAATCTTTTTATATCTCCACCGACTCACCATGTAAGCGGACCTTTTATGTATTATGGAATTCTTCCCAAATAATCATGTAATTTCTGACAATAAGTTCTGAAGTTGAACTATTTAGAGTTGTTACTACTCGATTCAACACTCACTGTGCAATCCTATGATGTGAAATATTGCGAGTGGTTGATATTATGGTTAAGAAAGAAGAAACTGTTGTAGTTGCTACAAAAACTAAATCGAAACAAAGTTTTAAAAGCAGACTACAAGAATTATTAATTTAAATATAATTTGAAAGAGGATAGTAAAAACAAGTTGCAAAATCATGGCTTTTATGGCCACTTGATTGCCCCCAGTGGTTGAGGATTTAGGTTTCCTTTGTAGGGCATAGATTCGAAGACCTATGATTGTGGATCTTCTACTCAATATTCTCTGAAAAAAATAAAAATTAAAATCGTGGCTTTTATGCCAATGTCAAACAATTATATGAGTTTTTTGAAGCTGACCATAGAAAATTAAATAGTGAACATGGTGCATTTATTAAATCAGATTGTGAACAAAGTCATTTTTCTTTAACATTTAGCTCAGTAAGAGCTCATTAGAATCTCTTTTGATGCTTGTCGAGTAGTCAAGTAGCTTTTTTTATGTCGGCTTCTATTGTTACGTCAAACTTCTTTTTTCTTGTACCATTTAAGTGAAGTATATTAATAGAGGTATAGTGTGATGGAAGTTATGTTGAACAATTCGTTAGATTGTTTGATTTAATTTAATTTTTACTTCTAATTAGCATTGATACTTCATAAGACCTTAGCATTCATGTCAAACTTCTTTTGTCTTGTACAATTTAAGTGAAGTATATTAATAGAGGTATAGTGTGATGGAAGTTATGTTGAACAATTCGTTAGATTGTTTGATTCAATTTAATTTTTACTTCTAATTAACATTGATACTTCATAAGACCTTAGCATACCAAATGAATTGCATTAATTTTTAAGAACAACAATGAAAAGGTTTTTGTTCTATAATGAGTTTTTGTCTTTAAAATCATTAGTATAAAAATATATATTTTGGTGGACTAGATTAATGACTCATTTCTGTGCGAAGTCAAAACAATGTTTAATCAGGCCTAACATATTCAATATTTGGCACTATGATTTAAATATATAACCTCATAATTAAACTTAAACTTCTTCTTTGTTTGTCATGCAAATTGATGTAATTCACTTAATAATTGTTTAAGTAAAGGACATAGACTTCAACCTTATCTATGCCTCTATTAATATACTCTACTAAAGTGTACAGTATGAAAGCAAGTTTGATAAGAGCATGAAATAAGTCATTAAATACCCTGCTAAACAAGCATGTATCGAGCTCTAGTTGGTTTACTTTTTTAAGTGACAAGAAAGTATGTTTTTAACATAAAAAAAATGAAAAATAAAAAAAATTAAAAAATAAAAAAATAAAAAAAAGGTATGTTTTTAACATTAAAAGAACAAGCTTGTGGATGCTCTAGCTTGTTCATTTCTATATCTATTTTCTTAAATAAAGTCAAAGTAGATATTAGGAACCTGACATGTGGCTTAGCTAAACTTGGATTAACAGTTGATGCAAGTCTTTATAAAATGCAGAGTTCATAAAGCTTATTGCTAACAGTTTGGAAGGAAGGAACACCATAAAATCAACATTACCAACTATATGTCTCTTCAACCGATTAGCATCCATTGTTGAAGCATAATATGTTAAAATTTTAGATTTATATTTCATGAAATGACCTATTGGTAAATCCTTCTATGTGAATCTCTTTTTGTTTTGTTAAAACATTTATTGATTTGGAAGTGAGCTGTTTATTAGCTGTTTAATGAATACATGCTTAATAAGTTTTTGACATTTACGCCTTTGATGAATGTGCAACGTTGGAACTCATTGGTATAGCCTTAAATGTTAGATGTCAGGTCATATTGTTGAACTTTTGTTTTTGAAAAAATAAATTTTGCATGTGCATCAAACTATCATGTCATCCTAGGTTCCTGGCAAGAATTATTTCACATGCAAATGGTATTTTTTCTTACTTAAGGTTTTTCAAAATATTTTGTGAAAGCCAAAAAATTTACTTTTATTTTTCAAATGGATTTCCTTTAACAGAACTGGCTTTCTCTTCCTTCTATGGCTGTAGGGTATTGTTAACAATATATCTTGTTCATAATGAAATAGTAAGTCTAGTTTTTTTCTTTTATTTAACCTACATAGGTAATTGTTTTCTTTCCTTTGCAGATCTAATCATTGAGTTTATTAATCATTGTTATTTCCGGACATGTGGAGGTTCAAGCCGTTCAGCCATAGAGAATCAGCCAGCTTAGAAGGCCGATCAATTGATGTAGGAAATTTGAAAGTTCATGTTAGAAATCCAATAGCAGCAGGAGGATTTTCTTGTGTTTATCTAGCTCGGGATGCCGTACATTCAAGTAGGCAGTATGCTCTGAAGCATATTATCTGTAATGATGGAGAATCGTTAGAACTTGCTATGAAAGAAATATCAGTAATGAAATTGTTGAAAGGGCATCCAAATATCACTAATCTTATGTCCTACACCATAATAGACATGGGAAGGACGAAGGAAGCAATACTTGTAATGGAGTTCTGTGAAAGGTCTTTGGCTACTTTCCTTGAAAACGGAGCTGATGTTTTTGAAGAAAAACACATCCTTTTGATTTTCAGGGATGTGTGCAATGCAGTGTTTTCCATGCACTGCCGACATCCGCCCATTGCTCATAGGTATATTTATTCTTATAGAGATCTATCCTCATTCTAGGCATGCTAATGTTTGAGAGCATGACCGATCTGCTCAGTTTTTAGCATGAACTTTTGATTCTATGTTTTTATTTTCACTGTTTATGAAATTGACATGAAAATTTAGCTATGCTCCATGCTAGCTATTGATTTTAATGTAATATATAAAAATTAACCATGCTTTATATTAGCTAGTTATTCTAGGAGAAGGTGAGTGCAACTTTATGCTTTTAGTTTAGTTTTTTGTCTTACTATTCCAGTAGTATTTGGGCCTGCTGATGAATTGGTCACCTTCGGTTCTTTTTGAAACTAACAGTTACATGTTTTTGCACTCATACTTCTACATTATCGTTGATTTAGCATCCTTAACACTAAATCTTGCAGAGACCTAAAAGCTGAAAATGTGCTTTTAGGAGCTGATGGAGCCTGGAAACTCTGTGATTTTGGTAGCACTTCTTGCAATCATAAATGCTTTACGAGGCCTGAAGAAATGGGTATTGAAGAGGACAGTATTAGAAAGCATACTACTCCTTCTTACAGAGCGCCTGAGGTCTTATATTTTCTTAGCTTCTCCTAATTTAATCTTCCTATATGCCTGCTGACATCATGGAAGGGAAATTTTACTTTGCTAATTGCAGATGTGGGATCTTTATCGGAGGGACGTTATTAGTGAGAAGGTAGACATTTGGGTGAGTCATTAACACTTAACCATGCTTTTCCTATGATTAGCAACTTATCTTCTTATATGTTTGTATAATTTCCCTTGCATGGTGGTTTTAGGATTAAAATGATCAAATGTTAGACTAAAATAATCATATTAATAAAACATATAGTAATAATCTATCAATTAGAATGAATAATGGATCAAAATGATTATTAATTGTAATGCAGATGTACTGCAGGAGGGATGCCAACTAAAAGCTTCCACTACTTTTGAGCCTTCTCAAAGTACTGCACTCCATAAAGCCCCACTACCCTGAGAAAAACCTTGGATGTGGTAGTGATTGTATGAGGAAGCTAGTAGCATAATCATGTTTGGTTTTGCAGGCTCTAGGATGCCTTCTGTATCGAATCTGCTACCTAAAATCTGCATTTGACGGTGAATCTAAGCTGCAGATCATAAATGTGAGCTACCAGATTCCAGAATTGCCAAGATATAGTGCACCCTTGATAGGGCTTATCAAGGATATGATCCAGGGCTCTCCTGATGCCAGGCCAGACATCACACAGGCAAGTTTTTTGTTTGATTAAGCTTTTACTGGCAGAAACCTACACTATTTGTCCATCAGTTTTGCAGTACCTGTTCTGGATTGTGAAGCAGTTTTCTAATGTCAGGTATGGTTTCGTGTCAATGAACTTCTGCCTTTGGGGTTGCAAAAGCATCTACCTGACAACTCTTCATCAGCGATTGATATGCACCCTCCTACTGCAAAGCTACATCAGGAAGGTGCTTAAGTTTCTAAAGTTTATAATCTCATGCGTATTAACAATCATAATCTCATTCATATTAACAATCCCTTTAGTATATGCACAAAAGCTGTTAGGCCTTATCCCGATGAGATATAATATACTCAAAATTCATATTTCTGAGTCTGATGATTTGCTAATTTGAATTCCTTAATTTTAACATATTTTGACAGATTATTTAGGTTACATTTAAAGAAATGTTCCTAAATTTAGGGCGAATAAACTTCAAATGTAAAATATATTCATAGAGCTTTGTTTGATTATTGCAGAAAATTTCATTTCAATTATTATGTCTTCTTATGTTGCTATTTTGAAAACCACAATTTGTTGCCCTTTAAGCACTACTTTCTCAAGTTTGCAAACTGTTAAGATTTAGGCCTTTTTTCATCCGTATTAAATGAAATGTTTTTTGTTGAAATTGTGATGACTGATAAGCACTTTTTGTATTAAATGACATTCTAGAAGTTATGTTTGAAGTTTTGTGTTTTTTTCCTGTGCAAAATAAACTAGCATTTTCTTTGGCTTATTTGCAAACATGGTTTTAGGTGTTACTAAAGGGGTTAATACTATTCCTCAAAGAATCCCTCCTCCACCGTCATCTGAAGACTATGCTCAACGGAATAAGGAAATGCAGCAGGCTAAGCCTTCCCAGTCTACTGCAAAAGCTAGCAGGCATGCTGCTCATATTGGTTCATTTTGGTCCACTCAGCATGCACAGGGTTCTAACAGCTCTCAGGGCTCTCAAGTCATACATGATAAAGCCCCTCCAAAAGATTTGGACCCTGAAATCATAGTTTCCAAAGTAGAGAAGAAGCATACTTCCCAAAGAATTAACCCATTGAATAACAAGGGGCAACCGGCCTCACAGAGCAACTATCTTGATGCGTCTGTTGCTATTCTTGATATCAGTCAACAAAGTACTGGTAATAGTAGCAGGATCCTTGGTGAAAGTAAGTCAGTGATGGAAGAGCAAAGTTCCGAAGTGAATAGCTTAAAGGACCAGCTTAAGCAAACAAACATTGAGAAAGCTGAAATAGCTTCCAAGTATGAGAAGTTGATAGCTATTTGTCAATCACAAAGAAAGGAAATCCATGAGCTGAAACGTTCCCTTGTGGCAGCCACCACATCCCCTCTTAGCAAAGACAGCTCAAAGAGCCAGATCTCTCCTGCTAGTTTGCCATCCACGACTTTGGTATGCTTACTATCACTTTTATTTTATTTGTATTATAATTGTGATTGGCGGTGGAGGCCATTTCCATACCCCACATTTTAGTTTTTAAATTAATTTTGGTTTTTTTTTTATTGGCTAGTGTTGTCTTCCCTCACTTAGTCGATCACCCTCCCATGTTGTGGTTGAGAAAGCTGCTAATTTATTATCGGCATCTCCAAAGTTCCACAACCATGACATTAGTATTAGTTGCATGTTACTCTATTTGTTGATCCAATTTGCAACCCCAAGAGGGTCGACACCCTAGGAGTTAATGAGTTAATAGTGGGTCAACTCTCCCTTCATGTAAGTCAATCTGCCCAATAAATTAATCTTCGACATACTTAACACCAGCATAGGGATTCAAGATTATGTGTTTATATTTAGTAATTACTTGCTTATGTATAATTGAGACAATCAGATTTTGTATATTTAATGTGATATGTGTAAGACTTTTTAGATTTAAGCCCAATCGAGATTCTTTGCAAAGCCATTTATTAAATGGGACCCACTTGGTAGGTACCACTCGAAAGCAAAGCAATAACCACCAGGCTCCACCTTCTCTTCTATTCTCTGTAAGTACAAGGACGTGGTGAAGATCTTAGAGAAGAGAGGAGAGTTTGCAAACAAAATCCGTTAAGTATTGTCAGAAACCTTATGATAGATGACGACTTCCTAAAGATAGAAATTGTGGATTTTAAGAGAAAACTTCCATGTCTTTCCTATACATGTTTGAATCCTAATGCTTTCATCCTTTAGTTCATAGGTTTTTCCTTTTAGTTAACGAGTCTAGTTTGATGATGCTATCGATACCCATTTTCTTGGCATGGGTGGAAGGCTCCTTTTAAACTAAGTGCTTTGTTCAACACCCCTGAATCCCTTTCTTGACATCTATAGGAGGTTCTGATAGCATTCATCGATACCCCTCACTAGATGCTACACAAAAGCATTGTCGAAATTTTCAACAAATTCAGGATAAACAAATTTCTACTAGTTTGTTGTGGACTGTGGATTTAAAAACATGTTATGAACAACATTCAATATTGAAAACATACATTATATATAGGAGCCTGTAGGGAGTTTAAGAAAGCATTATGTGATGTAAAGAATTTAGCTTTTAGTGATTTATATTACAGATTAGATAACAAGGGGATGAAAGATGTATGTATAAGTGAGCCAATCAAAGCGGTAGGAGAAGTAAGTATTTAATTCAATTGAAGTGCATTAAGGATGAAGATAAAAAAATATTTTTCTTATAAATATATAGAGAGTAAGGAGGATCTACAAATGATTTTTATTGATTTAAAGAAAGCCTATGATAAAGTTTCAAGAGAAGTGCTTGTTGACTACAGAAAAAACAAAATGAATGAAAGAACAAAAAAAAAAAAAAAAAAAAAAAAAAAAAAAAAAAAAAAAAAAAAAAAAAGAGAGTTGCATGACCTCGTACCATCGATTTTAAATCCGGTCGGGAAGAATTTAAATTGAAGACCTCGTACCGTCGATTTTAAATCTGGTCAGGAAGAATTTAAATTGAAGATCTTGTGTCGTCGACCTTAGGTCCGACCAGGATGGTTTTAATTTGAAGACCCTACGCTATTGACCTTAGGTCCGGATAGGAAGAAAATACAGCAAGCGCCGTACCCATTTCTCCCTCGGTGGGGAGGTGATGCCGGGAGGTAGCCGAAATTTCCTCGACAATTCTGGACTTTAGAGGATTTTTGGAAAACGCAGATCTCTAAAAAAAAAGCATTTAATCTATCGATTGAATCAATTAAATTTCATATGTTCAGATTTTTTTTTTATAAATCAATTTCTATATAAATAGATTTTTTTTAACATATATAAATCAGATTTTTATATAAATTGGAATGGTTTAATTCAAATTAGATTTTTTTTTTATAAATCAATTTTTTTTTATAAATTATATTTTCAAATCATTTTTTTTAATGAATGAGCAATGTCAATCTGATTTCTAATCTAGGAAAAATTGAATTGAAACATTGCATGAAAAGGAAAACTCTTCCACATTTTGGATAACTTCCTTTCCACAAGTCTCTGAAACTTTCTTGCATGTCGAAAGGAAAAATGACTTGAAAGTAAATTTTCTGCTAGAGCTAAATAGTGTGGGAAATTGAAAGAGTTGCCCTCTTTGCCTTATAAGCCAAAGAGCTTGAAGTTATCTACAACGCATATTTTCAAATATTAGAATTGTTGGAAACATAAACCTACTTTTTTATGGTAAATTTTCTTTGTAAATTTCATTTTTATAGACATGTATACAAAGCAATCAACTCTCAAAACAAACTCAAATAACTCAAACTCAAATTCATCTCAAACAAATTCTCAAACACTCAACACAACTCTCAATTCAAATAAAAGCTCTCAAACTCTCCACAATACATAACTCTACACTACACATTATGCAAGCTCTCCAAAAGTCTCTCCTGTATGAACTCCTGCAACAAATAAATTAAATTCATTTAGCATTACAATTAAATCAACATTAAATTTAATGCTAAAGCGTAGGATATTCCAGTAAACTACTAGTACAATGATGCAAAAAAAGTGATCTACTAAAAGAAATGAAAATGCTGTAGCAAAAGAACACTAGTGTTACAACGACAAATGATCAAACTAGTAAGTACAAGTGCTAGTAAACAACCAACTGAAAATCACCGTGGTCTAGTTTCAAACAACTACTGTCCACTCAAACAATCAAATTTAAACCATTGGGCATCCTAGCCTATAGGGTTAGGTTGGAAGACCCACCAACGGGCCATTCTAAGTGAAGTCGTAAGTCCCATGTGTTAGGGATACTTTTAAAATAAAGTATAACAACCCTAACAATCCTACAAAAATAGGCAACTTTCTAAAAAAAGTCATAAGACCTAACTCAAATCCAATCAAAACAATCAAATTCAAACCTTTGGGCTGCCTTGTTTATAGGAATTTGGTTGTAAGACCCACTACCCGGCAGCTTTCAAAGCAAAGTCGTAAGCCCGACTTTAGGGGAAAGTTTTAGGTAAAAAAATTGACCTAACCCTTAACTCCTAATTAAAACACTGGCCATTTCTAATAGAAGCCGTAAGTTCGACATCTGAGGGAAGTGTTTAGGTGATAATACAATCCTAGACCCCTCATTTGGGCATCTTAGTATATAGGACTAAGTTGTAAGTTGTAAGACCCGCCATTTGGGTTACTTCTAAGAGAAGCAGTAAGACCCGCATGTTAGAGAACTTCTAAATGAACGACCCTATTTCTAAATAATTAAGCCCATAACTTGGACATTCTAGTCTATATGACTTGGTTGTAAGACCCACAACTCGGGCCACTTAGTTTAAAGTGCTATGTCGTAAGACCCATCATTAGACAACTTTTAAGAAAGTACTAAGACCTAATCCAAATCCAATCTAAATCAAATTTAAAACATTTGGGCTAACTAGTTTAAAAGGACTAGGTTGTAAGACCCACAACTCAGGCCACTTAGCTTAAAGTGCTATGTCGTAAGACCCATCATTAGACAACTTCTAAGGAAGTACTAAGACCTAATCCAAATCCAATCTAAACCAAATTAAAACATTTGGGCATCCTAGTCTATAGGAATAGGTTGTAATACCCGCTATTGGGCAACTTCTAACTGAAGTCGTAAGCCCTTGCATTTTAGAAAAATTGTTAAAAAAATAGCAATGATCCTAAACCTCAAATAATCAAAATTTAAACCTATAGACATCTTAGTCTAAAGGATTAAGTTGTAAGACCCGCTTTTCAGGCAACTTCCTAAGGGAAGCCATAAGTCCAACCCAAATAATTTAAAACCTCTAGGCAGCCTTACTATAGAGTTAGGTTGTAAGACCCATCCTTGGGCGACTCATAAACAGAGTAATAAGCCCCAAATCTAAATTAAATCCCCAGGCTATTTTAAACGAAAGCCGTAAGTCCCAAACCAAATCTAAATCCTTGGGCTACTTCCTAAAGAAGCCATAAGACCCGCTCCAAACCAAATTTCTGGGTTACTTCTTAATGAAGTTATAAATTCCAAACTAAATAAATTTTTTGGGTATTCTAATAGATGTAAATCTAAAAGCACCTAATCAAATTAAAATTCAAATCTAACCACTTCAGTCTACTCGGGATCCCTGAGAGGAGGCAACCCATGGCTGCTAATCAGATTCCCTTTACACTACAATCAATGATTGTTAGTGTTGGTAGATTGAAACTACGGTATACCCGAGACGACGAAACCATGGGTTCTTGATCGGGTTTACCTCCATTTCACTCACTATTGAGACTAAAATTACCTAAAATTTATTCATCCTTAATCGAGAGTTCTTTCTTATGTAGTAAGAGGGGTAATTAACCATGAGTGCTTGCGCTCATAGGAAGTAAGGATCCCAGATCTTTAAACCCTGACACTATCCTCAGGGGAAATCTGGTTAACTTCAATCTGACTTAAGGGAAATGTAATCTTAGAGCTATAAAACGGGATTCATCCATTCGTGTAATTTTTCTTAAGCCAACAGTGCTCTGAAGAATTCTAGAAAAAATGAGTAAGGATATGTAAATAGGAGCTGTTACTTTTGTTCAAACATAAGGTGGTTTGGCCAAATATTTTTTTATTTCAGTGAATTACATCAAGGATCATCTTTAAGACTTTATTTTTTTGCTTTAGTCATCGATGTTCTTACTAGACATTTGCAAGAGGATGTGCCCTCCTGTTTGTTTTTTGTTAATGATATTCTTCTTTTTTATAAGACTAGAGAGGGATTTGAAGGAAAACTTGAATTATGGAGATCAACCTTGGCGTCCAAAGGTATTCATTTGAGTAGATATAAAGCTGAATACATAGGGTGTAATTTTAGTTGGTAATAGAACTAGTAGTGGGATTGTAACATTGGGTGATCAAGTCATTAAAAAAAGTCAATGCTTTATAAAACCTACGTCCACTCCCCGGAGCCTCTCTTCCGTGTATTGCACTAAACTCAGTA